TATGTGTTTAAATGTGCAACGTAAAATCCGTGTCTTCAATTTTTATTTTACTTTTGACTTAGAATTTCTGATTATTTCTACGAAATAAGAATTAAATAATTTAACAATTTAAGCAAATAGAAATGAAAATAAATCTGGTTATTAAAAGAATAAGAATAATAAAATGTGTGGAAGATAGTTCTGGTTTTACGATCAGTTTAGATAAAAATGTGCTTTACCGTAGCATTTTAAAAATCATAAATGCTGAAAGGACACTATGTTGAAGCCAACTTTTGTTTGGTCTTCTATGAGTTGGTGACGACTACTGCATTTGCATGAATTACGAGCTGTACAAGCTTTATTACGACATTGACATAATTCATCGAAATAACATCCAGCGGCTTTGCTGATTTGGTTATGTCGTAAGAATAGATGAAGATGCTACAGCGAAAAAGATGTTTGAAGAAGTAGTTGGAGGAAGAAGCCGTAGAGGTAGACCGTATCTCCGGTGGAGTGATCATGTGATTAGAGGGATGGAGCACTAACCGGACGAGATGTACAAGACTGTAGAAGGACGAGAGAGACATACTGCGTCAGGCCGAAATCCGATAACGGGCTATTATGACCGAATAAGTAAGTAAGTACAACACATTTTTGAACATTAGTAAAATATTACAGTTGTGAATATTTGTTCGACCCAACACACTTTTTCATATTGTTGTTTTGAATGAAATAAATTATAATACACACGTTTTACTAGTTCGGAGGAAATAATTATCATAAAAACTACAGCTAAGAAATATTTCTTTAAATATTTCTTTCTTTCTATCATCAAACCGATATACATAAATTAATAAACTCATTTCAAAAACATTGGGAAGTGCCTAGTTTAGAACTTTTAAAATTGACTTTTCTCACCAGATTAATTTCGGAATTAATCACACTCTTTGCTTTTTATAAACACACTCTACAACAAGAATCAAATGTAACATACCAGGTAGAATGCAAAATTGATGATTGCAAAGATATGTACATTGGAAGAATAAAATGGACATTAGGGACACGAATAAATAAACATCAGAATAGCAGAATGGAAGGTAAAGATACCAAGCAGAGAGCACACCTAGTTAACGTAACAGTAATAGACAGAGTAAGAAACAACAACAAAAGATTTATTCTAAGGGTGCGAATAGAAATGAAAAGACAACAACAAAAAATTTAGTTATTTTATTGGAATTTGGCCGACCCTACAACGCTGTTTCGAGTATTGTTAAGTACTCATCATCAATGATCATAAAAAATATTCGAATTTTTTAATTAGTTTATAGTCTGTACAGTTTGTTTGGACTGCAGTGCCAGACTTAGAACTTGTACCTGTCAAATTAGAAGCGATGACTAATCGTGTTTTTCCACAAGTAACCAAGCCTGCAGAAAGTCTCTATGCTCATGTTCCAAGTTTTTTTCCGACTTTTGTCGTAACAGCTTTATTTGGAAACGCAAGTTCAATGAATTGGAAGTTAATTTTAGAGGTTACCTATTTGTATTTCAAAGCTAATCCTTCTGCAGAGATATCTCCTATACATTTTTTATTTTATTATAAAGAACAATTAAAAATATTGAAATTATTGTGTGTATTAGTTCCATTGACATTAATAATAAATCTAATAAAAATAATAATAGTCTAATAAATCGAAGACTTTTTCCTAAGAAACATTTTACTCAACTCAGCAGGTCATTACTGAATATGAAGAACACTGATTCCGCATACTTGATGCTAATAAGTCATTGCTAATAAATTAATAGAGAAATTATAGAGAAATGAATTAATTGAATTATTTTGGAAAAAAATTAAAATGCTGTTATTGGTAAACTCCGTTGTGCTTTCTGGTAGAACTTTCATAATCAATTGTTTACAATATATAAATAGCAATTCTATTCCGTTTTAAGTTGTATTTGAAAACTTTCATAGTTAATATAAGTTTGTGTTGCTCGTTAGACTCGGAAAGCTACTGACAAGTCTCCGAAATATCAAATATATATTTCAGTAGATAAATTATTGAATTTCTTCAATGGGCTGCTATCTTAGGATTAGTTCAATATTTCTTAAGCAGACAACTTATTTTCTGACTCAAAAATCATTTTCTTCTTTAACCGTTATTGGTGATTTTTTTGGAACATGTAATTCTTTTTTAAATTTTTGAATGATAACCTAACATACATTATTACCTCTTCATAAAGTGAAGAAGTGACTCGTTTTATTCTAATGAATTTTGCTTCTATTATGCACCGTTTTTTTTTGTTCCAATCGCCAATTGAGCTAACTCACCTACTGATGTTTTTAATAAACCAGCACAAATACCCATATTGAGATAGTAAAAAGTGCTCTGTTCCTCCTAATTTGTAGCGAACAAGATTTGTTATAATTTAGTTCCCGCTATTGAGATTGAAAGTATGAGGCCCACAACTTTCAGCGGTACCACATAACCAGATAGAATGGCACACCATAACATACAAACATATTTTTGTAAGTGCAATGGCTAGTAAGTAAAAGGAAATTGATGATCCGTGTACTCCTAATCTCTAAATGAAGATATCTAAATCATTTTAACCAAATTATATATTTTAAGAGTTTTGTAACTCTTCCTATTTCAGTTCTTGACAGTTCTTCGGAATCTACAATATAGGGTTTTCTAAGAATTGTGGTATTGCCGCTTGCTAAGAAACGATGTCTACACAGTAGATAAAAGTTGGGCTATTTTTCCTTATTCTTTTAACTAAAGTAGCAGATATCATTATTAAGCACATTAAGTGTCTGTAACTGCTTGCCAATTAAGTAATACCCTGTTATATGGGATATAATATTGTCGATTTTGAATGAAATCAAAGTTATTAGCTTTTTTGTTACAGATAATGTTATGGATGGAAAGATTTGCTTAGTCTTTCATCAAGTAATCCATTATACCCACTTTAAAAGACAATAATATTGAAAAAAATTAACAGGTAATGATTGATATGTAAATAACTATGGAAGAACAAATGTAATCCATTAATATTAACCTTGTATTAGTGTCTAATATGAAAAATACATCAATATTAGGCCATTGTTCATACTTATACTCAATTCCATAACAATTTAATTGTTACTGATTACTGAAATCTGATTTCAGTCAGAAGTCCTCCAAGATCTTATAATTAATTATACGAATGAAAACTAAGAAACAAAACAGTTTTCTTCTAAGTTTCTCTCTTCAGTTTTCACAAGTTAAATCAGATAGGTTCAATATAAAATTGACTTAATCAAGTGGGAATCCTTTTTGATGTATATCAACTTAGTGATTTTGGAATACGATTTCGTCTACATTCTTATGACTTTTACAGTTAATGTTATTGTGTGCGTTAATATTATTCAGTATTTGGGAATAATATTCCATGATGAAAAAAGTCTTATCTTTCGAAACTGTACATAGGGCTTAATATTTCAATTCTACTAACGTATACATCGTATTTGATTCAAACAAAATCTGAGGATATTCTGCAGCACTACATATTGTTTAAAATATATTTTTTTAAAAAAAAATTAAAATAAGCAAATAATAAAATAAGCAAAAAATAATAAAATCAAAAAATATTAAAGTATAATTAAAAAGTTTGTAGTACACACTAAATTAAGAGAATATCAATAATTAAAACAAAAGTGCTGTTACACAACAGGTATGTTGTATATTCAAGCATTTTTAGTTGCTGCCTAATATTAGATTAATATAAAAGAGAATTTTAATCTAGTTATGGTTGTTTAATATATTGTCATCGTTTAATATAAAGCAGACAGCTGTACTCAGTTTGATAGATTAGCAACAGTAGTAGCATGATACGACTAATGAAATAGACTGAATTCGGTCTTTCATTGAATTTATGCTTGAAAATTATGGTATTTCCAGAAACTAATTGATATTAATAAATGGAAATAATTATTAAAAACTATTAATAATAAAAAAATAAATTATTAAATCAATAAATTCTCAACTTGAAGGTATATCTACAAAACATTTTCAATTAGAAGTAAAAGAAAAAAAAATACTTTGATTCTATCAAACAACAAATTAATTAAAAATAAATGATCATTATTTAATATTTGGCTTTCTAATCAAAAATATGTAAAATCTCTTAAAACTCCTATGGAAAAAAAATTTGTTTCAAATAGGAAATAATATGGGAATATAGGGAATAAAGAAAAAGAAATAGTAGTGAGGAAACTTTCAAATCCAAGAAAACAAAATTTTTTTATCAAGTTAATCCTTGGTCCACAGCGGAAACATATATTGGTTTCCATAATTTTTGGACTGCAAGTGTCTGATTTTGAATTTAAGCAAATTTAAAACATGGATTCACATGTTACCGTACAAAGTCATCGTACACATCCAAATTAGAAAGATAGTTTCAAATATTCAAAAATTTGATTCAGTAAAATCTTTTACCAATAGGAACTCTTCTTCTGACTTTGCACATTTATATATTGTGGGATGTTGGAATAGCGCACCGCCTATCCACTGGCCCTACTGAACTTGGGTTCTTTTTCGTCCAGGATTCTCGGATGTCGTTATTGAGTGAAAGCCAAAGTGGCTTTAATACAGACGTTTTGAATTCTCTTTAAACGTACGTTTTGACGAAAGAAAGTAAATTCTTAGTATAAACTATTGATTTCAATAGAGAGGTTCTTATCGAAAAGTCAATGTAATTGCAACAACAAATATTTTTTTTTATTATTTACAATTATTTCTTAGCTGACCATTTAACTGTTTTGAGTATTGCCAAATACCCATCATCAGTGGTCTTTTGGAAATATTTCTTATAGTTAATTATTCGTAATAGATATTCGCAATATAGATTATTTTGAAATTGGAGATTAGAGAACAAATTGAAAGAATACCAAATCAAAGTTAAATGTTGTTGTCTTTAATATAAATGGATTAGAAAAATTCGTGTTTATTTAACTTGAAAGATTTTTATTATGAAAACGTCAATAATGATATACGAATATGTATTTACCCAAATAGCTTAACAAGTTATTGTGTTCAAAATATATGAAAATAATTTAAGATTCTTATAATTTGCTTAAAAATATGCGTAAATAATTTTCATGCTTTATCAATCAAATTTGGTTGTTCTCCGTTAAGAGTGACATCGACTGATTCACTGTCAGTCCCGGCAAAAGCTATGGAAACAATTTCAGCTGGGGCGTAGTTGCTTTCCGCAGCCATTTCCGCTTTAGTGTCGGCACCTGATAATTTGTAATCCGGTAACTGTGTAGTATCTGATTCAGGGCAATCATCCTGTGCGGTATCTATAAGGAATGCCTGCAATAAGTTATTATCATCCATGACTTTTTTGGCAGCATCAACAACGCTGTTGGTAGGTTTGCGCTCACGTGTCAGAATCCAAATATTTTCTGTAACATTTTTGGAATAGTTTGTTTCCACATAATCAATTTCTCAAACATGTTCAAAATGCTGTGATGTGCAATCATGAAATTCATGATAATTTATGCGGTTACTGACTAATGATGAGGAATTCAAGGTGTCTGTTTTGATATGAAAAGATGTGCGATGCGTGCTACGGTGTGCTTCACTTTGAGGCGTTACGATGAGGTATTTTGTGCTGTCATGTGGTATGCCAAGGTGTTATATGGCGTGTATTTTTAGGGCTAAAAAATTTTATGGCATGAGCGAAACACGCGGTTACAATTATTAAATATCGCACGGTGATATTTAACGTAATTAGAACTTGTTTTCCTTTTTACTGATTTCATTTAGAAAAATCAGCACGTTTCACATAACCAATTATGCTCCAGCAACGACATATATGAACACGCGTTCATCTGAAGCGTTTGGATTGGATTGTTTCATACCGTATGTATAAGCTGGGGCAAAAAATAAAAATTTGCTTAACAAGAAAGAAAAAAAAACGTGATAAACAAAAAACAAAAAACAAAAAGACGCTGCCATAGCCACAGCCGCAGCCACTGCCGCAGCCACTGCGGCAGCCACTGTGGCAGCATAAACGAAGTGAAGTTTCGTCCGCCTACATTGCGTGAGCGCATCAATTAATTATGGCGAATAGAATAATTGCTCTGCGGTCTGCATTGCAAATCAGTTAGTTGTCATAGCACGATACACGTTCCCTTGTACCACTGCCAGAGATGCATACTAATTAACGGCAGACACGTACCGTACAGAACCCTACTACCGCACCGTGCAATGTACGCATGTAGCTAAAGCGGAACTTCAGTCCGAACCCATCTGCTTTTGTAATATGTTATGTGCTATGGATTGTGCATGTCCAGTGACGAAATACACAAAGTGAGATACTTTAATGCATGCAAAACTTTTGCTTTTGCTATTGTTATTGTTTTTGTTTTTGTTTTCACTATTGATACCAACGAATTAATTATTAAAGATAAAAATGTGCATACATAAATGGGACAAATTTTCCCACTTTTTTAAGTTGTAGATCACAAAATTGTGATTTGTTTCCGTCGTGCACTGCCAATGTGATGCGAAGCCGCACTGAATTTGAATTATTTAATGTATCTATTAGTTTCTGTTTTTGGACTATTCGTGCGATGCGGAAATGTACGCCAGTGAATGAGTGGCGGAACAAAGGAATGAGTGAATGAAAAGCTGACTGAGTGCTGTCTTGCATGTCCTTACTTGTGTGAGCAACAGTTGAAAAGTTCGTACAGCTGTAGACGAGCGCATAGGATGTATAATCAGTACCCAAAACCAAGTAATTCGGCTTATCGACACTCTCTGCAGTGGAAAGAGAAAACATATTGTTTTACGTTCAAAGCACCGTGTATTGAATGTCATCTACTTACGATTCTTGGAGAACTTAACTGCTAATTGACCCGGTCCAAGAATTTTGGCAGTACCAGTAACGTTTGATTTGCTGTTAGTGCTACAAAAGAATAAAAGAATTAAAACCATAGTCTTTAAATTAAATAATTTCTGAATTGAGGGAATAGGAATGTGAGAGATTATATTTATATTTTCAAATTATATATTAATTATATATACACAATTTACACAATATTTAGGTGCGTACTTATAAATATTGAACGGAAATACGATAGAAAAAATATCACAATACTGACAGACAGCCCAGCAAAATTTCAGACAATACGCAGACAAACTAAAGGATTGTCACACCAAGAAAAGGATTGCTACACCAATAATGGAGTCGGAACCTTTTTGTAGATTTTGCGAAGAGAATGAAGAGTCAGCCACACATGTGCTATTAGAATGCTCTGCACTAATGCACAAACAGAATAGATTCCTGGGAACGTATTCCATTTACTTAACAAGCAATAATACTCTGCAAAGTAGATTCTATACTATTTTTCATCGATGCAACAGGGTTTAGAGACGTACTCTAAACCCAGAAGGGGACACAATAGACTTGACAGTCGCAGTGCCACATCCCTTAATAATAATAATATATAAATTATATCACATACAAATTATATTATATATAATTAAATTATATAAATAAAATATTTTTTTGAGATGATAGTTTTAATTATAATTATAATATTTAGGAAGACCGTTTTCAATTTAGTAATTTTAGTATTGGGAGTTTATAAGAGAAATTTAATTTTTAAAAAATTTATTTTATTATTGACTGTATAGTATATTGTTGTTAAAAAGCAAAAACATTTTACGTAATTAACATATCATATACTAAGGGCAAGTGCTTGAATAAAGTTATGATTTCTGATTACAACCATGAAATTCCATCATTTCTCAATTGCACAGAAGTGAGGTCGTTCTATTTCGGAAACCATGGTCTGTTTTACCAACGTAACCGAATTGGGCTTTAAATGTATATAAAATTTTTTAATTGACTTAATAATATATTCAGGAGAATTTAAAAAATATTACATATTTAACAAATAATTTATGCAACAAAGACGAGAACGAGACGTGAGTTCTTTTTTCATTATTTTTAGTTAAAATAGTTTTATAATTTCCCCACCTTAATATAGAGTACATGTATTGATCCAAACTCATCCATTAATTTTGTTTTCATACTTACAAGCGATTGACAGCAGTATTGACCACATAGACGGTGTCATTACCTTTGTTTGTATAGCGGGCATACATACACTTCTTTCCAATCTCGAAAAGGAAAGGATATTTCGAGTATTCAAACCAAATTCCCATGTACTGAAAATAAAAAAAAATTGAACTCTCATTATATCATTAATCATTATATCATTATTGAAACTATACAATCAAGTAAGACATATTTTTTAAGATTTGATTTTATAGCATTGTGCAGTAAATGGATTGGTCAATAATAAATATTTTTCACGAAACATTGAATTTTTTTAAGTAAAGACTCTTTAACATTTTTTGATTGATATATAGTAGATCTACAAAGTTTTTAAACAAAAAATATTACATAAATTCTATGAAGAAGTACTTTTAATATTATAAAAATAGAAAAAGTGAGCTGTGATATTTAGTCTAAAAACTAATCTAATACTAATAATCTAAGAATAGATACTAAAATTGATACTGCCACTGGTGACTGTGAAGAACCTACTGTATAACTGAGTTAAGCGTAATAGGACTGAAAGCTATTGATTTAGGCCTACTAATTTTACAGTACATATATTTGCTAAGAAGTGAATAACCTACATATTAATGTAGATATTGAGAGAAAATTGGGAGGGCAGTTTTAGGCAAAGAAAATATCACAAATACTGTAAATGTTACGGATGATACTAAATGGATGAAGAAAATCGATGTTCTAACGAAGACATGGATAAATGGATATTATTGCAGAGTTAAATTTATTTAATATTTTTAGTTTTTTAATGTATTACTAAATCTCTGATAGATGACCCCTAAGATCATAGACGTGCATAATTTTTTTTTTTTGAAATATTGTTACAGTAGAAAACTTTCTAAATTTAAAATGAAATTAGAATAAACTATGAATATTATTAATAACCGTTAATTACATATTACAGCATACCTACTAAACAAAAGTATTAAGCTTCGTTAAAAATATATAATTGTAATAAAACTGAAATATAGTCTCCGACTATAGTACAAAAAATGTATGACAGTCGACAATTACTCTCTTAGTTGATCGGTATCAAACGCGTTGATATATATATATATATGTATATATATAGAAATTTATTGAAACTCAATAATAAAATTATTTAAGTATCAATTTCAGACAAAAAACTTTGTTGTACAAAACGTTGCAGAAGAAGAAAAATAATAATTTAAATTATTTCTTATTGTATAGTATTGTCAATAGTATTGCCATAGTATTGTAAGTGTTCAAAAGCATTTGTATATAAATCACTTATATATAATTTTCCTTTATATTTTGTAAGTTGATCTACTAGATGATTCATGGATGGAAAACTGACTAACTTCAAGCAAATATACGGATGGACAGACAGTCGAGCTATGGCAAAACGAGTCATCTTGTCTAGGCAATCAAGATTAAGTGTAGCGTGTCTAAATATTTATATATGCAAAATATTTATTACAGCAGGTATGAATATATGAATAATATGAATATATGTCATTCTATATATGGAAAGTAGTTTTCATCGGCGTATGTTAAATTCAGAGACCTATCAATCACTTCGCATATGTAGGAAAGTTATAGAGGACGTACGATGTTCTTGCTTAATTGAAATATGATTATTAAATAAATTCGTTTTCTTTTAAAATATTATTAATTAGACCAAACAAATATTTAAATAAATTTTATAAAGCATTTTGAGTTAATTAATGCGTTGCTTTTGGAGTATTTACTCTAAACAGTGTTTAGATAAAAATGGACATCGAAATATCAATGCCCAAAAGTAAACATAACTATCGTATATTTTAAAGAATAAAACTTAGATTTGATTTCCATTCAGAGATGGAATAATTAATGGAATAACTTATATGGCTTAGTTGGTAAGTAGTGGTGGAGGGAGGACGAATTCTCCCCAATTAGCTAAAAGAGAAAGCCGTTTTGAATCCACAAAAAACCTCGTAATAGTGGGTAGTAGATAGAGGGTCAACCTAGAACCAGCCAGAGGCATTAACAAAGGTAAGAGCTTAGTAATAGGATATATTTTATCACAAACATTTTAAGTTTGCTAAGTTGCGAAGAAGAAAAATGGATTATTGGGCCAGAAATGATTTTAGGGTAGTAATAGAATATAGAAAAAATCTTGGCTTATAGCATTATGGATCTTAAAAGTCAAAATTTATAATTATTATAATAATTATTGGAGTTTAAATAGTTAAATTTCTATAGTACAAAAGGTTGATAAAAATATTTTAATAAACTTAATACATCCATTTATCATTATAGTCCGAAATTATAAATTCTTGGACTGATCGTTTGGATCATAAAAAGTTCACTCTGCCCAATAGCTCTAAGTTAACAAATTTATATTTTGCTTTTCTTGTTAATTGCCCTTATTATAAGGAATAAGGACATTATTATATGGAGTAAGGTGAATTTCGATCGTTATTAGCTTCAAAATCTAAAGGTTGGATTAATTTATAACATAAAGCCCTTAACAGCTTCCTTCTCTAACTAATTCTCAAAGAAATTTAGTTGTATTATATGCTGAAATCTTTTGACTCTTAAAGACCACTTTCCTTCTATTTCTGACAACTCTTTGGGAAATGTCATATATAGATTGATTGCTTTCAGAAAATGTTTCTTACTATTTTTTTATTACTTGACTTAATTATTTATGCATATATATATATATATATATATATTAGGATTATATGTCTTGTACATGAAATTGTATACATTTTATCATCGATAATTTGAGCACATTCCACATAAGAACTATATCATATCCAAAAAATCGTTGTTAGCTAATCATAGAATACGTTCATAGAGTATGTTATCACAATTTAAATGTTTTTCTAATTAAAATCTATCAATTATATTCGAAAAACTATTGAAGAATATGTATTTTTTTCGTAATTCTATTGATTATCATCAATAAAAAATTACTTAAAAAAATTCCAGACATAACTGATATAAACAAATTAGTGCAAGTGTACATCAACTTATAAACAAAACTGTAAGGAATAAAATAAAAATATCTACTGAGACCTGCACTTAGTGCCATGAACAATTATTGAAGCAACTGCAAGAAGTACAAAACCGAGTCCCACTGAAGTCAAGCAAAACTATTTGTTCAATCAAGCGATAAATGCGAAAAACGAACCGTTTCTGAGTAAACACGTCTTGGGATTCAGTCTCAGATGCAGTGTCAGATCCACTCGTTGCTGCTCAACAGACAAAATTTGTTGACATTACGCAAATGAATCAATAATTGAGTTTAAACTGAAACTGTTTATGTTCTAAGAAATATGAAAGCAGTTAAATTAAATTGTTTTAAAATTCTTTTTATATTATTATGTTAAGTACACAAACTGATAACAAATTACATTGAAGATTAAATGAAATTATATTTAAACATTAATACATCCAATATTTTTCAATATAACTTTAGTTAAATCATTTAAAATTTTAAAATGCCAAAAAATACAGGTATACGATAGACACATCGTTTTACGCCTATGAGTTCAGTTTTTCATTATAGTACTTGAAACACCAGTGTTTTGTTTTTGTGGACAGTCAATGACGTATTCTCGAGCCAAGAGCTGTTTGCATTACTTAAATCAGGCTATTTCTATTGAGAATTCGGTAAAATTTTTTAAATCAATTTTTGAGGGTTTTTCGGAGTTCTCAAAAAAAGGTTCTTTCAAAAATTGTAGTCCTACTTTTTTGCGATGACTGGACAGCTGACATTAGCTGAGATTTTTTTAATATTTTCTCTTCCTCAAAAGCAGCAAATTCAAATCTATTTAGAACGCCATTTAGAAAACAAAGCATATGTATGTAAATGTACGCCTATATATATACTATATGCCTAATATGGATTTATAGATTCAAGGGTTCATTTCTTCTAGATAGAATATGTATTTTATCTGCACCACATTTTGACTTCTCAGAAGAAGCAGAGTGTGTCAGTCCCTTTCATTGATATTTAAATAAAATACTGAAAAAATTACTGATATAGTTTATGGTCGCGCCGTGACAAGACATCCAATCTGTTATACAATTTCCCTGGTATTCTTATTATAGTTGTTTTACAAGTTAACCAGTTTCTTGATTCAATACCCAATTATAGGTGAACAGATGTATTTTATCTTGGCACAATTGGTCTTATTTTTGCAACTCATTTTGACTTCTTTGAAAATAAATAGTACATCAGATCCATACAGATTAATATGTAAATACCTAGAATGTAACCGATATAGTTTATGGCCATGTTTTGACGTGCCGTCCAATTTGTTTTACAGGTTTTTTTGTATTCTAATTGTTGTAGCAATCATATAACGAATATGTTATTGTGTCTGTTATCCTCATTCAGTTATATTAAACAGAATAAGAAGAAATGAGTTTTAACATAAGAGGATGGATATGATTGTTAGAAATTGAAGTGGTATCCATGTAAGGAATATATTGGTGAGTTTGTTAATCTCGATCAAAGATATAATACACAGTTGTAGGAGTTAAGATATAACATATGAGGATAATTAGGCTTTGATAACTGTTTGACTATTATTAAAGAATTTGATATCAGTTTCTTTCATAAATTTTTTCAAAACTATACTATGTAATAGTAAATGTCATCACTTTCACTTGAAATAAACTGGCAAAATTTGATGTTACGTGTGTTTCCATATGAGACAATTACACAGTCATAACTTAAGTCTTAAAACTGTCAAGTAGAATTAAGTTAAGTAATTGTACGACTTTAGTCAGTGTTAAGTCTTAAGTACTGACTGTAAAATCTATCCTAAATAATGTTTATAGCAGATCTGGGTTAAATTATTGCTTAGTCTGATGAAGTGATAAACCATAATCCAGTCAAGGCGTAGAGAGGGGTTTTGAAGAAACCTTGCAGTTAATAGAGAGTAAAAGTGTTCAAGTGTACTGACACAACTAGCTTCAATATAATAATAAATATTAAAAAAAAACATTACTTTAATTGAAAATAAATATTTAAGTATAAAATATTTTTTATTATTAAATTATTAAATATTCTCATATTTAATAACATCTAGATCAGATGGGATGGTGGAACACTACACATATTAATTAGTTATTATATTTAACTTACAGCATCAACATCAAACTCTTCCGGTATTTTCACGTCCGGGCAGGTATTTGGAAATGGAACTTGAGCACAACCCAAAGCAAGTATAATCATCCCAATACTTTAGCACCAGAAAGCGTAAATAATTAAGTAATTATTATAAAATTATTCTAATTATTGGATTATTATATTGTAAGTGTTATATGTTAATTATGTTTGTCGCTTATAATGGATTTATATTAACTAACTCGATTAGTAATTGCTATTCATCAAGTTTTTTATTTAAAAATGTTGATAAGTTTATATTCATTACACATATGAACAATAGCTAATAATAATTCATTATAAAAAAATTTATTTTATTTATTAGATTATCATCACTTCTTATTATTCTCACCTTAATTTGATAAACATTTTGATTTATATTTAGTTTAATTCAATTTTACACAAATTTTTAATTATTTTATTTATTATATTAGCGAATTTAATTCACAATAAATTAATTAAAAAATTATTTATTAACGAATTATTATTTAATTTGCTTAGAAATCAAAGTCAATTAAATGCAATATTTATTAGAGCAAATTTAATAAATTCGCTGAAACCCGATTGTATCGCGGATCATCGACTAAAATTAGTGCGCCTCGCGTTCTTTATTTATATTGAATTTGAAGAGCATCAAACAGAGAGAGCACTCGCAAACAAAGGGGTAGTAGATAAGAGTTGCCTCCAAGCGATGGGTACTGCAAAGCGTTGTACACTAATTTTCTAATAATTTTAAATGATAGTAAATATTAATACATAAGTGTCATATATGTCTCTAAATATATACAATAAAAGGTTTTTGAAAGAAATTAAAAGTATTAAAATTCAATACCCATAGAAGAAATCACTATTATTATTCACGCAATTATATATGTGATCAGTAAATGGTCAGATAAAGCAAAAGTTAGTCAGAAATTATAATTTTCGAATAGCTCAACTCATATAAAAACAACTCTGCGAAAATTGATTTACAAGTGACTCAGTGAGCCATTGATTAAACTAAGTAGACTAGCGACTTTACATATCTGCATAAAAAAAATTTAGATATTTAAAATCATATGATTGGAGAAGCCCATTCACGCAACCGTAACGATGCTCAACGAATGGGCTGTTCGAAGAAAATATATCTGGATATCGAATATTAGTAATTGTAACAGTTTTGTGAAAATTGACTTCCCCGTAGTTCAACATATCTGGCTTATCTAAGTAGACCAACCACTTCACTATATCATGGACAATAATCAATTGGAATTATATCACACAATTGTGTACATTAGTTCATGCAATTGTAAAGGTGGTAATCGAGTGACCTGTTCAAATATAAAAAAACAAACTGAAAGCAAAATTTTCAAACTACGACAATTTTTTAAAAATCGACTTTCAAGTAGTCTAATATATCTGTTTCATATAAGTGTACCAACCACTTCATTTATTCCCAGAAAAACTATATGATCTCTTCTCACATTGCGCCGCCATGTTTAAAATAATATTATTGCGTTCAATACCATTTAACTGGGGATCGAAAATGACATTAATCATGGAATTATATCATTTCCGATTGACTATAATATCGGCAGTAACTTTCAAAAAATATGGATCATTTTAAAGTATATTCTTAATATAAATTAATAGCAAATTCTCAATATGGGCACCACAAGTAACAGCGTCAAGGTTCTAGAGAACATTTTTTGGAATAGATATATAACATCTATAAACATTTTTATAATTTGTATTTTTTGAGTATAATTAAAAGGTGGGCATTTGAAATGAACATGTGTACTAATTCGTACTGAAATTTTATTAAATATTATTTTAATATTATATATTATAGTATGCTAATATTATTAAATACATAATAAAAAACTTGATTCCATTTATGAACACATTCATACCTGCCTTTAAATTTCCTAGTTAAATAGTATTAGAAGTAGTGAATGTGTTATATAAAGACAGTTGTTTCACTAAGAGAGGCAACACCAATAGTTTTTCATTGCAAAGTTGAATGATCACCTCTAAAATAAAAAATCAGTTGGGTTTTGCTTAATAAGTAGGTAGACGAAATAATCAAAACTGAGTCCACTTTAAGAAGTGTACAGGCTAAAGGTTAACTCTTGCTCTTGTTGAAACTATTTGGCTAAATTTGAAACATTTGACTCAATTGAATGAAAAAATGTATGAGGAAATATCTGTAAAAAGAAAAAAATCTTTACTCAGACTTAGAGATAGCATGTACTGAACCAAGGGGCTTTATGTATACTCACTTAAAAGCAAAATAAATGTTTGTTGTTTCTTATATTAATTAATTAATTCGATTGTTTTTAATTATTCAACTGAAACACATTGAACCTTTGAAGTGTTTACATATGGTATATATGAGATTCTTTCATAATTATTTTGTTTCTAATCTGCTAGACCCCATCACCCGAAGTGAGTTTTAGCTTGGAAAATACTATTACTTGTAAAGGCTACACTTTTGCCTACGGAAATATTTTGTGAATAGAAAAGCTAACCAAGTGGAAGTGTTATTTGCTTAAATATCGAATTTATTTTTTAGGCCTAACTTTTTATCACCTATTATCATCTTGAAACATATTTCTGGCAACAAACTACATAGTAGTTGCACCCATGAGTGCGCCAAACTGTATATAATATTGATATTGAATTATTAGAGAACAGCTTGAGGGCTTAACATTATAAATGCTTTATCAGAATTTATTAACTGATACTTCTTTACTCAATTTTTTTTCCATAAAAGCTTTGGTTGATTATAGTAAAAATATTCCAATGTAATGGAACTTGTTGTTGTTAAGGAGAACTATAAAGACTATACCTGTTTTAACGAAAAGCAATATTAGTGAACCTAACACAAAATAAAAAAAGTAATGTTATATGATATTATGTATTATATACTTGAAAAAATAGGTTTGTGATGGCAACTCTGTTTTTATAAATTTCATCAAAGATGCACATATTCTATATGAGAGAACCTGAAACAATAAATTTATGTCGGTTGCACATAAATAATTGCTGCTGTGATTCAGTAACCGGTGGTCTTGTTTATGTTTTTCAATACTTGATACAACTCTCCTCTCTCTCTCTTTAACACCACTTATGGAAACTTTTTTATTATAAGAATATATTTAGATTGTCTTAATATTTGTATTACTTTTAATATACATATGTATGTTATATTGAAAATTTTAAAATTATATGATATTAAATATAAAAACTAATAAAGATATATCGGAATGGTTTTAATTAAATCGAATAGTTATATATTTCTTATTGAAATCATTGAAAAAATGTAAGGTTGATTGTATTTTTAACTGCGAACTAAAGACTTAAAAGTGCTCCAATTCAATTTAAATATTCGAATACAAATCAATAAAAATCAAAAAAGTTGCAAATCAAGGATCTATCTAATATTTTTTATTATTATCTTTATATTTTTAAAGATAATGGTTTCTTATATACAATATATAGTTTTCTCAAGTTTAGGTATAATTTCTGCAATTATATTTTAAGAGTTGAACTGTATTGTGAAATTTTATTTTAAGCTACGAGATCCATTCTTACTTATATTTCGGAACACCATTATAATAAATAGCCTCATCTCTTTTGTGTTAATTTTATCAAATGTTTTTAAAGGCTTTTCAATTTAATTCTATATACTATCTATATTCTACTCTATATTTTATAATTCTTATATTGAGTATATAATTGTGCTCAAGTGCCATTCCCAAATATGTGCCCCGACGTGAAAATCTCAGAAGAATGCTGTAAGTTAAATATTATAAATAATTTTGCATTATGCTTGGCGATCCCATGTGATCTAGAAGTTATTAAAATGTTATATAAAAATTTTTACCAATTTTATAATAAATAAATTCAATTGAACCTATATTTACATAATCATTCACATATGAAAAGAGTTGGAGTTGGAGAAAATTTGAAACAATATTGTTCACTACGCTGAGAGTTCCAATAAGACTTATGGCTGTTTCTCAAGCGCAGTGACATGCTATGAATATTTCATCTTTGTTATATAACAAACCTAATAGATTCTTTCGAACTCAGTTTCATATGTTAAACAAGGAGATTTTCGAAAAGTAGTGAGATACAATAACAAAAATTTTTTTTATATTATTTTAATTAATCAAGTTTTTGGCTGACCATACACCTGTTTCGAGTATTGAAAAATATCCACCATAAGTGGTCTTGGAATTATTTCATATATTAAATTATTCATAAATAATTTTATGAGACTGCAAGTACTAGGAATCAAAATAAAAAAAAAAACAAAAAAAATTTGTAAGTTTCATATAAGTTTATGTTATATAATAGTTTATATAAGGTTTTGTTGTTGCTTTTTCATTACTCTTCGAACCATTCTAGTTTCTTTTTATCATAAGGCGAGTCATATTATTATAAAACTATTAGCATTAAAGACATGCTGAAATATAATTGAAAAAAGTGAACAGATACATTTTTTATGATAATCTTATTAAATCATTTCGCAGCTTTTACACAAAAATGTGGTATCTAAAATACATATTTAGTATTATTATAATTCTGAAATTATCGCAGATCAAGTTCCATTTTATTCTATTTCTGAATAAATGTGCGTGTTTGGTTGGTTTCACTATAAATAAAATGAAAGTTTTAATTGTTAACTGTTATAATTTTCAGTATATTATTTTCAGCTTAAAATGATTCTATTAATTAATAAAAAAAAACTTTATTTAAAAAGTTTTATGACCTTTTGATCCCATTCATATAACATTTCCATATATCAAACAAAACCTGTTGCGAATGGGTGCTTATCTATTCAGCAGCTCCAGCCATGTGATTTTCAATTTACAATATATGTTTTAGATAAAGATAATATAGATAACACTAAAATACGGTACGTGCTTCGCTAATGAATCATTTAGATTAAATAATTAGAAATTATAGTTTGTTCTAACTGAATTGCCATAGAAACTGAAAGCAATGTGAGTAAATATTCTTTTAAATGAGAATTAATATTATTTAATTAATAATATTATCACAATCACTGGATCCCGATAAACAATTAAATAGTTGACTCTAGTTGTACTAAACCGTTTTTATTGCTCTAGATTCTAGCAATCGTCAATGCAAGGACACTCTTTTTAGGGATAACACAATAGATCTTATAAGCTAAAGTTTATATTCTTGCTCTATTCTACTATAGTAAAAAATCAAAACAACTAAAGCCGTTAAAAACTCAACTGTGGTCAGTAGGAAGCCACTGTATAATACCAATAATTTGGATTTCGGAGTACCAAGGAATTACAATTAAACTAGTTAGAAAAGAATCAGAAGTATCCTTATAAAGTGTGCTTGTGACATATCTATCATCATTTTTCAAAAGTCGTAGAACGCAAATGAAAAATTGTGTGGAGTGGGCTGCGAAATACCCAAACTAACAAGACCAAGCAATAATTTATTGAGAACTAAAATCGTAATTGACAGAACCAAATGTATTGGTGACAAAACTTATTGCAGTGCTAACAGGCCATTGGTCGGTGGGCACCCATGCCAAAAGCTTGGCATGGATAACCACCAGTAACGTAAGAGAGAAAATGAAAAAGAAACAACTGAAAAGTTTTTTATAAATAGTTAGTAAGGCAAAGACTTTATATTATGGAAGCCAACAAACTAAAAAATCTGCCAGACATCTCAAAAATAGATCTTTAAAAAGTAATATTTCATATTAATCATATAGGTTGGTTTTAACACCTCAGATTTTCATGAAAAAGCTTGTGGACCAATTAATTACACAGAAGAGGATATCGTTTAGCCGAAAAAACTGTGAAACCCGCACAAACTAAACTTAACTTGCAGCGATATTTGTAGAACATGCAATGAGCCGAAGATCAAAGAAAACTCTATGGCATCTACTGTGTAACTGCTCGGCTCACTTGAGAACTCGACAAAAATACTTGGGAGGCTATCAGTTTTACAGGATTGGAGCACAAGCCTGAGCTTGCTGTTGAAATTCTAATAAATTTCGCTTATGACACGCGCAACCTAAGTGATCGCTAATAATAAAATTCTGATCTGGTATCGCAATGGATCTTAAAGGTCTACGCGTGAACTTTTTGGTCTGCTAGCATAATCTAACCAAACCTAATCTACTTACTTTCTTTAAGAATCAATTAACGAGGTAATAACCACGGGATATGATTGGTTTTATAAAATTTTTATAGTATCTACCGTACTTTCATATCCTTGATGATACATTTATATCGTTACACATATGCAAAGTTAGGAGATTGGTATTAAATACAACTTCTTACCCTGATCTGTAATTTTTTTAAAAGCTTTTCAGCTTTCACTTTATTCTGAGAATTTGTGTTTATAAATAGGAATCCATTTCCTTGCTTACTTTAAGGACATAATATAATTAAGTGAATACAAATAAATCTAATAGAAATTAATAAGAAAATATTTTTTATACTATTTTGTTATTCTAATATATTTTTTTATTTTTATTTAGTTTTTTTATTATTTATTACTTAAGCCAATTACACAAATGCTCCTGAAACATTCTTTTTTTTTTACATATTTACACTCCCTTTGCGTTACATGTGCAGCTCATAGACATTTCCGAAATATCATTAATTTTCGGGACAATTATTTTGCTCAGTTTTTTGCAGCATATTCAAGGATAATTGTTTTGATGTGATAACATCCTGTGCAGTCTTCACAACTTCATCGCTAGGGAAACGGTCACGCGTCAAAATCCAGATGACTTCTAATTATAAAATATAAGAGCATTAAAAAGAATAATAATTAATATATACATATATAAATATGAGTATAAATATTATCCAACTAAAAAATTGTATTAATTTGTTTAGTGTAACTTTATATTTATATGAAACTGTATTCGATTAACGTATTTCTGTACTCAATTTATTTTTCAATTATCACATATTTTTTAATTACTTTCGGAACGCAATAAAAGCATAGGTCCAGACCGGACCACTCTGCCCAAATAAAACATAATCAACTTTCATGCAATGAAAAAAAAAAAATAATGCCAGCCGGCCAATTTCGAATAATGTTTACATCTCTGCGCAATTTCCAGCTTTTTATACTTTTTCCACTCATATTTCGCAATTCCTAAAAGCAAATCAAATATTGAATGTTATTTTAACTCTAATTGGGGTTTGTACTTCACAGAAATTCTACGGTCCGTGCATGCAGCGCAGATACATTTAGTTATTCATAAATTTCAATTTGTGGCCGTGTATTTAAATATGACGTATTAACTTTACGGTGTGCGGAACGTAAATAACAAAAATCATTTCATTTTTAATCTCTGCTTTTAGGCGCTTAAAATAGGATGCTTATATAAATTGTGTAGAAAATAATTACTCATTAAGCTTGAAGTTTTAAAGGCAACCACATGCATTTTTAATCAATTAATTCTTTGACTATCTGTTCAGTTCTGATCAGAAGTTTTCTAAATTATACGACTTTTGATGTGTTAGCAGAAGTATATTTAGTAACAACATAATAATAATAAAACAAGTTATATATATTATAGCTTCTTAATATAACCATAAAGAAAATTATATGAATTCCAGATAGGAATAATATAGGTACAATATATCATTTACATATTTTATTTTATAAATGACACCACGATAAAGTTTCACATCAACTAAGAATGCAACTGTCACATGACTACTATCTCCTACTTAGTAGTTACATCTAGCATAGATACTTTTATGTCGAACACAAGTATCAAAATTCGGGTAGTGGTAGTTCAAAAGTTGCAGTACCAAAAGTAGTATTTTTAAACTATTTCTATATATACTCCCACCTGTCGATATTTGTTTGCCTACGTGTTCTCAGGATTTCACAGCGACGTTGGGAGATGCTCTATGCTTACGATAGCAATATTGACAAAACTATGATTCCGATGATAGAGCATTATGGACCAACATACCAATATTGGGACCAATAAAAATCACTGTACAGATTGGAGGGCCGCAGTTTCATTGTTTTAACAATTCAAATATACATTTATTTGATATATCATAAAAATAAAATAATGTAGTTTTATAAAAGAATAACAAAATAAAGTTTGCGTAATTGTTGTAGATTAGAAACATGTCGAGCGCGAACCATGGGCCGCGTGTGAACAGACCTGCTTTAGAGCATGACAAAGCATACAATAGCTAGTAAACTCGGTGTATGAAAGTACTATGTTGGCTTAAAAGTTCCAAGATTGACATAAAAGTAACGTCTGTATCTAATAACCACATATTTTTTAAAAATTACTTACCTTTAAACAATCAGATTTAGAAGACAACTACTCTAAATTACATTTAGAATTTTATGATCATTGAAAAAATTTGTTCAGAAACCACAATGGCTTTAATGACGTTACTTTAGTAATTTTTTAAAATAATGGGTTTCAAGCAATTTGGAGTGTTAATTTATCTATTTTCTTTTCATAGAAAAAAATATCAATATGCCAAACTTTGGCTTGATAAATATTATCTGAACTTTGCTCAATCGAAAGCAACCGTAAAACGTCAATTTTCAGGCTATATAGCTGTGCAGACGTTTATTCGACAATCCACGGACAACCGTGACTAAAGTTTTTAGAGATACCTGATACTCATAACATATCGAAGGAACGTGACACCCGACCAAAGGTGAAAATCTGATGCCATATTTGCTCACAATTGACCAAAGACAATAACATATCAACGTTTCAGAAAGTAAAAGATTCTTTAAGAAAAAACAAACCTTATTCTGAGTCGACATGCGACAATATATGGAACATGATCTATTACTTCACTAATGTCGGATTATAGAGTTTTTGTTCAAAATAGAATTACGTACGTTTTTGAATATGTTTTAAAAAACTACTGTTACCGATATTTCGACTGTAGTCTATCTGAAAACGACGAAGTAACGGAACTATGAGTTTGTGTTTGGTACAAATGCGTTCAAAATAAAACAAACACGACGCCAGGTCTGGAAGCCTCAACAAGTGATAATAATTCAAAAGTTTATGCTTATTATATGCGGAATTACTGTAAGAGAGGGTACTGGGAAAAGACCAATGTCACACTGGTCATATGAAATGAATTTTTCGAATGTTTTGAATATAAAACGCATGGAAGTTGAATTTGTTTAGAAAATTTGTAGTTCATATCTATAATGCTGCAAAAGTAATGTGCTTGAAACATGGTCCCATTTTTCTATATCCGAGATTTTTCATGATCTGAAGACCACTCAAAGGACAAAGTTTTATAAAAAATTTATAATATAAAACTAGTAGTTTCTTATAGTAAATTGAGTGAAAATTAAAGTTTAAACATATATTCTTTAAAGAAATTAAAAGTTCTTGTAATTTTTAGTTCACACATCATAACTCAAGTACAATCAAGTCCTTAGTTTCAAAGTTTTGTTCCACTGTCAAGCATCTTTCGAATGACAAGAAGTTGTGAAGCCAAATAATATTCATTTAGAATTTATCATTCAACTTCTCTGTGAAGTTTGTTTTGTTGTTATTGAATTTTACGAGTTACTTCTATTTTTAATAAACAATAAAAAATCCTGCTTTCAACTTTATTTTTGCTCAAATTGAAAACAATACAAAATAATAAAAAAATTCAAAAATTGTAACAAAATTTTGGAATTTAAAATTTACAATAACAAAACAAACACAACAGAAATGAACTTCACGTCAAGCAGAATCCAACGTTACCGAAAAAAAAACACTTCTGAAATGAAGTTCTCTCAACAAAACATAAGTAAATACACCCATTGTGACAAAAAAAAAATAGAAAAAGGGGGCTTAATATTATCCTACACAAAATGGGTATAGTACGTTATAAAGTTGCTAAAGACAACTACCTATATTTCCACTCACGCGGATTGCTCTCCTACGGATGCTCAAATTGTCACTTCATTTTATTCCCTACCGAAAGCACTTAATCGCCATTGTGAATCAATCATTTCCTATTCTCGAGACATACACTCACTAAAATCTACTTCTTACCAAAAATATCATCGCTGTAGACTAACTCCCACCACTGCCAAATAAAAGTGGCAATATTTACGGTAGTTAAAGCACTTAAATCTCTCATTATTGAACCAGAATTAGTAAGAGAATGAAGGGAAAATATTGGTGGACTAATACAATTCGCAGATATTACTCTCATATGGGTTCCCGATCATAGAAACTTTGAAGGAAAAAAATCAACACTGATCTCCACGTTCTTCTTTCTTCGGGATAGTAATAAGAATATTTCCGAAATAAGGATTTTTTTAATATACACTCCAATTCTTTAGACACCAACCTATACTATATTGAATAAATTTGGTAGTAAATGGATTTCACTTGCAACATATCATCGAAAATAAAATCTGATTACGGGATGTAGGTGTTCACAACTGCTATTATCTTGGATACGGGGCTAGTTTCATAATGTCATGTTGGCTGTTAATTGCACCTAAAGTTACGCGAAATTAGTATTGAAATTTACTTTTTCACTCAAGCTGGAGTTGCATTATATGACTGATTGCTGTGGATCAGGAAGCAACAGAGGTGTATATGAACGTTGCTCTTCAACAAGAAGAAAGATATATCCAAATACATAATTTCAATTGGAACAGGCGGAATAATTTTCTAACAGGTATCTATGAATAATCTATAATAATCTTTAATAATGTCTATAATAATCGTTACATGCGTACTAAGAACATCATGGTATTAACTAAAAGTAATCTCTACTTTCTGCAGTTAACTTATAAAAGATGGAAGTCATTCACATTGTGCAAAACATCCAATCGATTAGATCTTCATATAATAATACCAGGCTCAGGAAACTCATTAATAACTGCTTAGATACTATTAACTATATTATTAACTACTTAAATGAAAAAGCAATTATCATACACTATCTCTGTGACCGCACAACCTTGTCTAACAATAAATTTTTTTTCAAAGTACCTACTTTCTTGACAGTCTGTCAGACTGTTTATCAGTAAAATCAAAAGATCTCTTACACTATATAAAATCCATTGAATAACTATTATTTATTATAGAGTTATCTTACGAGAAATGTGGTATTAAAACGGTAATTATGCGAGGCAGAAGGGAGTCTGATGATCAGCCACTGTAACCAACAAACCACATAAAGTTTTTTTCTTCGTCTAGTTCAAGTACTTATATCATTCCTTAATGGATATAATTCAAGATACTACCCGATCAACCTTTCTAATCAATAATTGACATCTAAATATTTTCTATGTAAACAATTTTAATGACCTTCTTAAAATATTCTTCAAACATAAACGACATACAAAGATCTGTTTTATATATATAAAAAACTAACTACATTTGAAAAGAATATGCACTAAAATAGCTTAAAATTGTGTTTCTATAAGGGATACTTAATCGACAAATCAATTAAAAATTAATCACCGACGTGTTAAGATGAAGACTAAAGTCCTACACAAAAATATGTGAAATACTCTATATGCTTTATAAAGTATAAACTTAAATTATATTGTATTAATTTACCCATGTGTGTGTTTGGGATACTATTTATGCCAGAACTATCTATTATATTCTATTTTAATAACTTTTTAAAATAGTGAACATATTGCAATTCCGATTTCCTGGACATACCGAACTCAACGGATATTTTTTCGTTTTCGTTTCGGACATATGTTATCAGCAAATTGGAACTCTTTGTATGAAAACCTCCAACAATAGCTAAAGTAGACGGTCCAGATGTAACATTTGAGTAAGAAGTATAAAATTTGTATATATATATAAGTTAACGCTAGATGGCGTGAGCAGTTTGTTTCTGTCAGTGTAATTTATGTAAAAGGTCAACAACTTTAAATTTCGATGTCTTCAAGAGTAAGCTGTATCAGCCTGTAGAGTAGTGCAAGAAGTTGCTGAGAATAGCTATGAATACGTATGTAATTAGTCTGAACATAATATTCCTTACCAGTGGTGAGGAAAATACAACACACGATGAGTATTGGATGAGTAACAGCGGAAATACAGAAATCATTTGGTGTCCACTGCAATTGGGGCAGTTAACACGATTATATATATATTCTGAGTATATCTCAAATGTTTCACCACGAAGTTAGAATATACGTATTTTGTATTTGCAGAAAAATTTATGTGCTTAAATAATTATTACAAAAATATGGAGAGTCTTTCTGTCTTTAGCAACTTATTATTTTTTAAAGTTTCATAGACCTAATGATCTCCAACTTAACTCTTTATATACTCGTAAAACTTAAAATTATGCGTACATAAAGTCAGTACCACGCACTCACATAAGTGAAATAAAATTTGAAGAAAAAAATCTTTAAGTTTTGAAGGTTAATTGAATTCACTTTAACTAAATTTTTAAGATTTAAACATGAACTCATTAAAGCAATTTCTAGTCTTAGTTAAGTTTATTTTCATGGCCATTAATTTGGGGTTCTTGACTTTAAAAACTGGTCAATGTCTTAAATTAGATTTCAGTCGTGAGTAATCTTAAGTTTTAATTGTGGTTTAAAATTTGATTACCTAAACTAACTCTAGACTTGAAATGATTTCCAGTGCAAAAGAGCAAGTAGGTGATTAACGAGTTCTTTGGAAAACAACATTTAATTTCGGCCCATTTCATGACTTTGCAGTTCAAAACGTCACTATAATTTAATCACCTCACGTAAGTGCTTTTGTCAGCTGTGGCTCTGAGCAAACTCTCCACAAACCCCAGTTCTTTAAGCGCCAAGTCAGGAATTTTTCGCACGTCACTAAGTTTATGCATAGCAGTTTCAAGTTCAGAGCGAGAATCTAAGACTGCGCCAAACAAATTTTAATTAAAGCTAACACACTGGTTTTTCTTAAAAATGCAGAGGTAGCCAACGTCTACACTTTTAAGTCTCATGAAACAGTTTAAGATTTCAAGTTGCGGAAATCTTGAATTGAAATTACGGATTGCAGATTATTTTTGACTAAAAACACATTTTTAAACTGATATTAATATGCTGCTTAGGGGACGACTTTGGTGCCACAAATTGCCCGCTTCTGAATTGTTTCGTCAATGAGCTTAAATAAACATTATCTGTTTGCATGCATGTTTATTTATTTATTTTGCATTCAATTATACATTCTATGGAATAATGTAACTCATGGCATTCTCAATAATAATATTTAATATTTAATCTGTTATTTACTAAATAAATATCAAGTGAACGTTGAATTAGAACTATTAGTTTGTAAGTGAAAAAAAAACTACTTACTTGTATGAAGAAGACCTAGAATATCGACGCAAGAGTAGACGACTGCATAGCTTGTGTAATCCGTACCCAAAACCCAATAGTCGGAACCGGCTGAAATAAATTATATTTTGTTAGTAAATAATTTCTTTCAATTTAACTGTTAAAAATAATATAAGTCGAGTGTTCAAAAAAATAAAAAAAAAATCTTTTCATATAAAGAAAAGTAGCTTTGCTTTTGGCAGACAAAACTTTTATAATTTTTTATATGAAAATAGTAATATTATCAGAATTAGAGACCAGCTTTGAATTTTCAGGCTCTTTACAAATTTTATATTTGGATTTCTTCCGCCATAGTTTACAGCTCCTCAGCTTTGCTGAGATGAAGAATTCTTTTTTTTCCTATTTTCTTATGACTTCATACGCGTCTCTCGTTTGCGTCCACAAAAAGCCTCAGGATCAATTTTTAAAAACATATATACTTCATAAACACAGCTGAGAGGTAAATATACTTTACGTCAGTTTTGCAATTTAAGAGCCCAATATTTTAAAATTGATATATAGAAGTAAATAAATATATAAATTTTTTAATATATATTGAGTTATACTAACAAAGTTTTATTCTGTGGTATGGTTTTAAAACAAAACTTTTTCAGTATAATAAAAATGGTATAATAGACATTTTAACCTCTTAATTTTATTTTATGTACATTACCGCAAGATGTAAATATCATTTGTTTTCTATCATAAAAAGTTTGCGATTTTGACTTTCCACCACAATAGCAATCCCAACTGATCTATTAATTTCCTGTATACTTTCGATTTAAAAGTATATTAATTACGCCATAATGAACATAGTATAGATACCCTATAGATTGATTTACATTCCCAGTTGTAGATAGACATAAATAAATAGATGACATATTTGCTTGGCTCTTTTACTATGTTCTATTATTACTCAGATTCCAATAAGATTAAATCATATTTTGATATATAATGTACTGTATCATATATACATGCTGTGTGATGTGTACATATCAATATATTATACAGTATGATATGTACGGTTTAACATATAGTATATTTTTCACTTTTAAATCATACCCGTTCAAACTTTTAGTTACACCGAATCAAATCAGGAAGTGGTTCGGTTAGTAAATTAACTAACCGGTAGTCGTTTTACTAGCCAAAAGAATTAACTCATATTTTGCTTACAATAATATATAATATATTATAACAGTACTTAAACCGATAACATCACTGTCAAAAAATCATCTCAAGTTACTACACAAAACGTTGAGCATCTATTGAAAAAAAAGATATAAAGCAACAAATTTCCAGGGCTTGATCCAATAACAGCGGAGATTCTATTAAAATTGACAAAAGATGCCATTTAATGCGTTACCCATTAATTGGGAATTAACCGAATTCGCAATGGCCGCAAACCATACTAACTGCTTCTTTAAATTTAAAGACACAGATCTATATCACTATTACTTTTGAAAATTAGTTAATAGTATTTTAAAAATTAGTAAAGTATATCTTCAATCTATTATTGAAATATCAAATTTTAACCAGTCGCATAAATTTATTTATTAAAAAAATTCTCAATAAATGATTAAATACAAAGAATCATTAATATAATTAATTAATATAATCTAAAAATTTTTAAAAGATAAAAGACTTCACTCTGCTATATATCTTAAAGTAGCACAAGGTCTTCAACAAGGTAGACTGTAAGTGTAATTAAAAAAATACAAGTATTCTCGTGTCTAACGCATATGACGTTTTGAATCATATTTGTCCGAGCCATTTTTATGAGTCTGATAATTTTTCTTAAGTTATACGTACTGAAACAGACATCCCTCAAAACAATATAGTTCATCCTACATTATATCACCTATACACTTTCACAATCGTATTTAAATATATACAACTATTGCCAGATGTACATTTGACACTGTTATCGAAATGACAAATTGAAAAACGAGATGGTAAATCCATTGAAAAGCATGAGGCACATAAATTTTGTTATTAAAACTTTTCCTATGATAGTGAATAATTCCGGGTAAGCCAACACCGAGACTACTCCTTTTCTACCAAGTTTATGTTAAATTGCGATAACAGACTTTACATATAAGCTAAAAAATAATCTACAACTTCAAAACTCATTATCGTAAGAAGTAACCATATGGTATAATGAAAAATTTGTTCCAATAGCTGATTATATCAAAATCCGTTGACAAATGGATCTATCCGGGAAACCGAAATTGCTTCAATTTTGACATATAACAATTTTTAACTTCGATTTTGTGTGATCAGAATACCTGATAGTACTACTGATAGAAAAAAATGTTTTTAAGCAAAATCTGGTCTCAAAATATCAGGGACCATAGATGATAAAAATAAATTGAACTTTTTTCTTAGTCCCTGCATAATAGTAAAAAGGTATGATATTTAATAGCAGATTTGAATATATTTTCACAGTTTTTAATGACTTTATTTAAGCGTTATTGATTAATATACAATAGAATTAGCTATATAAATCTTAAGTCAGGAGAATCATAGTATTACAACCCACGGAAAGTTAACATACAATTGATGCAAGAACCATACTAACTGTTTTTTTGAATCTTATTATTAAAATCTCTAAACTATATTGAAGACAATTAAAACGAGGTATTACTTAGAGAATTAACTGGAATATGTGTACTCCACTTATAGAATACGAAAGTTGTTACACAGAGTCTGGGCTTTGAACTAAACTTTAAACTAAACTAAATTTTTGAATGATACCCTGATACTAATATATAAATAATTAATAATAAATAATAATAATAACTAAGTGCTATTAATAATTTATGAAATTTTTTTTAGATAAATTTTAAATTCAAGGCACTAATCTACACAAATATTTATAAATTTTTTACTAATTAAATTCTTAATGAATTCTTAAGAAATTGTTATTTTTTACTTTCGAACTGATTGTTTTTTTAGAGATAAAAAAATTGTTATTTTTTTGTAAATTATTCAAAATTAGTTTCTTTGAAGTTAAAGATAGATACACATTTTTTGTAGCTATATATTTACTATATATTCATAACTATGATATCTTTTATTAATAAATTAAGAAAGTAACTAAAGTTATCTGCAATTTAAATTTTTTAAAAATTTATATAAATTTATATAAATGAATTCTACTAATCCACCAAAATAGTATTAAATATATTTATAAATAAACTTTTAAGAAATTAATATTTATCTCTTTCAAGCAAATATATTTTTAAACATTAAAAATTAAAATTTTTTTAAAAATTATTTGATATTATGAAAATTTAATGTTTATGTAAATATATATAAATATTAAATGTATATATAAATAAATTTTTAAGATATTAACAATTATTTCCTTCTGACTAAAATATTTTCAAATATTAAAAATTAAAATTTTATTTAAAATTATAAAAATAGATACTATATTTATTTCACTAATTTACTAAAACAGTACTAAATTTATTTAAAAATAAATTATTTAGAAATTAATGTTTATTCCTTTAAAGCTTAAATATTTTGTAATATTAAAGATTTGAATTTTTTTTTAAATAAAACAAAATTAATTTCTTTAAAATTCATATTAAAATTCTATAATAATTAATTAACTCACATTTTTCTGTGTCTATCACAGACGAACTATATATTTATAACTATCTTGTTTAATAATACAAGACTGTATACTAAACTTATTATATTAATTGTGATTATTAAAAATTATTATTATATTAATTTATTAAAATTGAGTAATTAAATTAATGAAGTTATCTGCAATAACTTAAGTTAATTGTTTCAGTTTAATTAGGTTAGGTTAGGTTTTAAAAGTATATAGCGGCATTTTGTTATAATTCAATATTCTAACATTACCTGGTATATTGTCAAAAGTCACGTAAAGCTTAGCTGAACTTCTCTCAACAGCAGAACCATTTATTTCGTCACTTCTTCCGGTACTAATTTATTTTGATTAAAATTATTAAAATATTTTTATTCAACGTTAATGTACATAAAAAAAATTAAATACTTACAAGCGATTAACTTGATGATTTTTAATAGATATCGTGTTATTCGACAAAACTCCATATTCTGCATAAATACACCTGCCGAGAATTTCAAAGATGAAAGGATACTTCGAGTATTCATACCAACGTCCTACGTACTGAAAACATATTTATATGAATGCTATAGTAGTGCAGAAAAAAAGAGACATTATCTTACATCTGCTGCACGAAAATCCTGGACTGTTGTTATATTTGTAGAACAACGGCCAACATCAAAGACCTGAGCTCTCACAGTTTGCATTACAACAACAACAATAACACACAAGATTCTATGGTATATATGTAATTGTAAAATATTTAATGAAAGTTCATCTTTGAATAACTCAATAAAAGGGGAAACCCCTTTATCAACTCACTTAAGCATTTTGTTAAAAAAAATTTATTTTAATTTTGTTTAAATTTGAATTCTTCAAAATTGATAGAAGATTCTTCAACTCGGTAGCTGCAAGACTCTGCCGAACCTGCTCTATTCACACCTAACTTGCAACTGAAGTGCCGCCTTTGTTGTGCGAGCTTAACATGAAAATTCAAGCTGCGAGTATCTCGCAATCATTCTATCTACAATGTCGTTACTAGTTTTTATTACTTTATATATAATGTCGTTTTGTTTACTTTTATCTATGAGAGAGCAAAGCGAATATAATACCGCACTGCATTTTCATAAAAAATTATTAAATTATGAAATATTTTCACAAAATTTTTTATTTCGCGTTCGCATTGCAGTTTGAAACTACGGTGGCGGCGGTACGGGAGCTACAGCAACTCTGCCAACAACAACAATAACTACAGAAGGTGCGAGTAATTAACTCGGTCGAGTGTAATTACAATAGCTCGTTACTAGTCGCGGATTGATAATAACGTTTCCAGGGCTATTAGTAGTCTAATTAGTTTTAGGTTGTGTCGCAACTTGTAAAGAAAATTTATCTTCATTTGACTTTTATTGCATTTCAGTATGCGCTTTTGTGATATTGCAGTTCAGTGCCGTTTGTCTTGTTCGCTTGTTCGCTGTGATAACAAATTGACACAATGACAAATTACAAGGAAATTATATAAATTTATTTTACTTCTCTTTTAGCAATGGAGTCCTCGATGAATCAGTGATTCATAACCAATGCATTCCATTTTTGTTGGTCTCATGCAATGACTCTACAATCACTTACACCCATTTTGTTGAGTTCATCGATTATGTGAACTGTCTATACAACTCTTGACTTATGTCTAATAAGTTTAGTACTATAAGTGTTTATTTCGCCTTTTGCTTACGGTTAATAATTTGTAACTATATATTAAAGGTCTTAAATACTGAGATATAGTATATATTTTGTCATATTCTCTTTTTCTCTTCTCACAATCCTCAAGCTGGTTCATTTGATGTGATTTAATAGTTAATATGAATGAGAGCCTACATTATATATCCATATATCTATATCGTTTTAATATTACAAATAGAAGAGCGATAATTGATTGATGAAGTTTTAATCATAACTTAAATACTATCAAGTACTGATTAGTTATCTATTCGAAACAACTATATGGTTAGCCATAAATGCAATAAATTAAAAATGGAATCGAAGTAACAAAGCATTAAAACTCCAGAAAAATGTGCGAACATAAAAGTCAAGTACGGCTTTGGGTCTATTGGCAGGACACGAGTTCAATCTCTGATATTTGCAGTCTCAAAAAATTATTTACGAATAATTAAATACAGGAATTATTTCCAAGACCACTGATGATGGGTATTTGGCAATACTTGTAATAGCTATATGGTCAGCCAAAAATGCAATTAATTAAAATAATATAAAATGAACTTTTGTTGTTATAATTCACTACTGTTTGGAAAAAAACCTCTTTATTAATTACAAATAAAACAACTGTTCGGTTTAATTTCTTTCGTCAAAATGGACGCCAAAAATCAATTTAATATAAAATTATTTATTATGAAATGGTTATTTTTTTAGTCTGATCTTTGAGACCAGTTTTCAAGAAGTTTAGTTATAGTTCAAGTTAAAAAGCTCTGTTTTAAAAAATCAGCAAAGTCTGTAAATCATGATTAGAAATGCTTTAGGTTAGATTATACCGGCATTTCCAAGGGATCTACTTTGGCCTACAGGGCAACTGTGTTTTAGAAATGGTTTTTTTTGGTGATAATATAGAACAGAAAGGGTAATACAAAATTGTAAACTATATTATAGTCAGGAAAGACTTGCTTACTTACTTACTTACTGTTATCCTCTTCTCCACGTGGAGCATAGGAAAGACTAGTATCTGTATATTATCAATAAAAATATTCAAATCGTTGTAAATTTTTTATACTGCATAGCTTAACATTTATTGAGGGCATATCCTGGCCCCGTCGAAATCCCTATGACACCTAAACTCACATATATATGTTTCATGTACAAATGAGAGCAGAAAGAGTGGTTTGAAATTGTGAATTCTGTTTTAAAATATCAGCTAAATTGTGTATTACCATATAACCGAAAATACTTTTATCGATGCCAATATTTGAACGGCGAAAGATTATGATTTTATATAAGATTCATCAACATCAATAGGTGTAGACATAGGTGTAGTGTCAAGACAGAATAGCATGAATAATACAGAAATTTGATCCATATCTGAGAACGTCAGAAAGTCGGGTATTTGTATATCATCAATAAAAACTCCTTTGCCGAAATCAATTTTTAATACTGTATAATTTTATGTTCTGTTAAAATTTAATGAGGACCAGGCCTAGCTCTATCAAAAATTTGATAGCATTTTGATTTACTTGAATTTGTTGGTAGTCCACACAAAGTGGAAAGAGTACTTTAAAAATGTTAATCCATTTCTAAACATAGTCAGCTTAGCCTAAGCAGAAGATAAAAACTGTGACGTGACCAGTCTAGTCATGGTGTAGGGTGCATTTTATTATTTTTTCAAATCATTTTAAAATCAATGGCAATCAAATATAATTAATGCACATATAAGTGTATGATATAAATTAGTATAGTATATTATTAACATAGCATTATGCTATTAATACTGCATTAATATAGTAAAAAATATAACGAGTAAGACAGTAATAGGGAAATTACAAGATAAATTTTTAAAGATTAAGGACACCATAACAATCAGATAATGAAATTGCTTACCTATTCAAGTAACTTAAAGAATATTTAAAAATTTTAGACATCAAGCATTAAGCATTGGTGTGATATCCGGGAACAAATGAGAATTGAAGATGCTTTAGAGCTAAATTTACTGAATGTATATAACTATCATTATAATTTAAACATTGTATTATAGATATTTACCCAATTACTTTAATGTTTGGTCATCAGTAACGTACTAATTGGGTTTGCTTAATTCGTATAGAGAGTTGTATGTATTTTGTAAATATAAAAACGAAATATCAAAATAAATAAACAGACCTTCATGAAACGCAAAAAAAAAATTTTCTATCTAAATAGACACCTTATGGTTAAAAACTATTTTTAACCAGTAAGAGTCAGCTTGGTTAAGGGCTGGATCACTAAAAAGTGAGGTAATAAAGTATTAAAGGCGATATTTGACATACATATTTCCAGGATTTGTCATATATATCCATATAATATGGATCATTTAACAATCGCTCTATGTGTCGCTCTATGTGTGAGAACCCGATAATACCGATTTCGGGATTATTATCTTTAGTGAAATTTCTCTTAGTTGATATGTCAACAAACGAAATTATCGCGTCCAGTGCAATCAAAATCCACTTGATACTATCGAAAGTCTATTGTATCCACAAAAAGTCACTTTATCTCACTGTGTAGCATATAGTCTGGGTATGTGATAAGTGGTTACTTTTTTATAAAAGTAGGAAGATGTGACACAAACTGTAGATCTGATAGCTTTGATTGATATAACCCAAAGATGATCAATTTTTTTTGTTGCTTTAAGTTAAACACATTGGTGCGTAAGTTATGGGGTTTTAATAGAACCACATAACTTTAGTAGAACTTCTACATCATATTCTATTAAATATTTATAATGCGAGAAATTTATTGAACATGAAATTTCATAGTTTGGGATCATGCCATTTATCAACAATGGTCTTTTTTTGTAAGATTACCCAAATAGACATGAGTTTGTGGATCATGATCGAAATTCTGAAATTTTGAAAAGAAACGTTTAATAAGTTATGGCTAAGCTATAGCCATCTATGTGCAGACGAGGCCATCGAAAATTGTCTCAACACACGCCCGAACCTCAAAATGTTCCATAAAAAATATTTGGGTAATGTTGCACTTCACACCTAATGGTTAGGCGAATATAAAAACAATATAAAAACTTTAAAAAGAGACATCGCAACTTTCAATCAGAAGTGTTTTTTTAAGATTCTTTTTTTTTCAGAACCACAAAATAGATCATCGTCTACAGAACAATGCTATTGAGAAGATATTATAAGTCCAAATGATTATTAAAATATTTGTTTTCAGACATAATAAAAAACCACAATAGAGTATGAGTGTAATATGCTAAAGATACTAACTATATTTTATCATAATAATGATATCTTGTCTTATTTTATTTGTTATTCACATATAACAGTCCACATCGTATTATTTTTATTACTATGGATGCAAGTGTTATCCTTTAAGTATTCGACTCGTTTGAATACAAAATAATGAATAAAATATTTATTATCATAAATGATTTGCCAAATGTCGAATTTAATGTCAGTAAATGTTCATACGTATCCTTAGGTGCATAATGCGAATCTGTTTTTATGGAATACTCTTCGTTGACTCCAGGATAAGCAAAAATCCCCAAAGACGCACACAAGTAACGCTCACAACATTACGCCAATTTGCAAGGAGCAAAATAAAAAATTTAACTGAACACTCAATAAGGAAATATAGCATTGAAAAGTAAAGAAATAAGGACATCCGTCATGACAGCGAATATCCTGTTGACAGCACGCATATGTTCGTCTGTGCGTCCTCGGCGTAATTTCGTTCTTAGTGTAAGTTTAATGTGAGTTTCCAATGCGATTCCTGTTGCTATTGTCATGCGTATTTCTTTAAAGATGTCTATTTCCCAATGTCTATTTCCCTTAGAATTTTATTATTGCCTTTGTTATTGTTATTACAGCGATTATGAATATTTTATATAGTTATAACCAACGCAAAAAAAATCCATTTATGAGCGAAACATACGCTTAGTCCTCTTTTAAGACGATAAGTTAAATTGGTGTTTTTAATATATGAGAATTTTTATTGACACTTTTGAATATTTTCGTTTCGATCTAAGGTCTACACAACGAACTAATTTCGTTTAATATCATAGGACACTATTTACAGAAATGACCTAGGATTAGAAGTGACAACTGAGCACTTTCAGACTATTAATGTTAGACCCAACAGTCTTATAAAATATAGTTTATACATTGACATAAAAGTTGTCTTCATTCCGAATATTTTTGTACCTGATGAAATGCAGCGTAAGAATCAAGCACCCATATTTTTAGATTGTTTCATTCCGAAGAAAAGTACGTACTATATAAAATTCGG